TGCTCTGTCTCTCTCTATCCCAAAAATAAATAAACGTTGAAAAAAAAAAAAAAAAGTAATTCGAGGGGCGCCTGGGTGGCGCAGTCGGTTAAGCGTCCGACTTCAGCCAGGTCACGATCTCGCGGTCCGTGAGTTCGAGCCCTGCGTCGGGCTCTGGGCTGATGGCTCAGAGCCTGGAGCCTGTTTCCGATTCTGTGTCTCCCTCTCTCTCTGCCCCTCGCCCGTTCATGCTCTGTCTCTCTCTGTCCCAAAAATAAAATAAACGTTGAAAAAAAAATTAAAATAAAATAAAATAAAATAAAAAGTAATTCGAAAAATGGAGCAATTTACAAATTGAAGTAAAATACTGCCTCCCTACCCCCAGCTATTCCACCGAGTCCACACATGATAATCACCGTCAACAGTTCAATGTATTTCCTTCCAGACCTTTTTCTGTGCATATATACTTTTATATGTGCAGATACATGTATGCATGTGTATACACGCACATTTGGAGAGCATTTTTATATGATATATTTGGCAAGATATTATGGTCATCCTTTTAGGACAGTCCACATGGATCTAGCTCTTGACGGCGGCTTCTGGAATGCTACCTTGCTGACATGACACAGGTTATTTAACCATTCCTTTGTTGAGGGACATTGGAAGTGTCACTTTTACAACGGAGCAGCAATGAACATTCTTATACATCTATCCTTGTACACTTCTTTGGGTAGGATGGATTCCTGGAAGTCAAGTTTTTGGGTGAAAGGGTAGGTACATTTCAAATGTTGATAGTTACTGTGGAATGGCTACACTGACCTATAGCACAAACAATAAAGTTCAGGCATTCATTCTCAGTAAAATTTTTTTTATGGATTCCTAGGTTTAGGAAAAGATCTCAGAAAACAAGCCCCTCAATTTGTATATGAGAAAACGAAGGTTCAGAGAGGGTAAGGTTTGGGCCCAAGATCTAAAGCCCAGGATGAGATAACTGACCAGCAGGAGTTCTGTGAGTGGTGGTCACAGCTGAAAGCCAGGACAGTAACTTCAGTTAAGTGACATCAAATATAAAGTGTGTTCCACCAATAAGTAGGAAAGGGGACTGTCATCTCCTTTTCCTTGCTTACGCTTGGCAAGAAAAAAAAAAAGGCAGTAAATTCCTAAAAGATACAACAGCAAGAGGGGGCAGAGAAGGAGGATTCTCAAACTAGGTGGAGTAACGGGCACTGAGCGCGAAGGGATCATAAGTTCAGCCGCAAGAGGCGAGCAAGTGTGGTGGAAACGACTCTGACATGGGATGACCTTAGCGAAAAACCTTCCACAGCCTCAGTGGGTTGTACGAAAAGTTTCTTGGTTCTAAATATCTCCATGTGGCATCCAAAATGAATGCCAGTACTGAAACCAAATTCTGAAGAGAAATATCAGAAAAGAACTAACATCCCACAATGAAGAAACATCTTCAAAGAAGATGTTGTTATAAAAATACCACAAAAGTACTTTCCAACAAATTCCAGACCTAAAAGTAAAGCTTTAAAATGAAGCTCCAAGCACAGAAGCTTTGAATCCTTTGCTCTGTGCCTGAAGAGGCCCATGTGAAGGAAGGTACTTCTGACCAGATAACACTGTCTTTATTCAACCAGACCTATGGGGCATAACAAGGAGAAAAAAAGATGGCAATTGTATCTTTTGAAATTAGAATGGTCTAGAAGAGAGGTGGGCATACTTTTTCTCCAAGGGGCCAGAGAGCCCTTTGCCCACCATATGGTCTCTATTGCAACTATTCAACCTAATGTTGTAGTACAAAAAGATAGCCATAGAAAAAAATATAACCAAGTAAGCATGGTTGTGTTCCAATACAACTTAATGGATGCTAAAATTTGAATTTCATATAGTTTTCATTAAGGATTCTTTTCATTTTGACTTTTTCCAATCACTTAAAAATACAAAAACCATTCTTAGCTCTTGGGCTGTACATAAACAGGCAGTGATTTAGTGCACCATAATTTGCCAATATTTGGTACAGAGCACTTAATTCTCAATAGAACTGAACTTGAATGTTGGTAGAAAGATGGAAATATCTGAGCCTCGTCCCTAAGAAGTTAAATTTGAAGTTAGGTAGAAACGTGTTGCTCTTAAAGAGCTTCAGATATTTACCTTAAATCTCTTCTCTTGCCGAATTCCTCTGGTGGGATTGTCCAGGGCAGACCTTGAGGGAGACAGTCTAGAACTTCTGAAGAAAAATCAGAGAAATCCACACCATACTCTGTTAGTATTCCTTCTGTTTCAGGCTCAATTTCACCAGCCTGCCCAAGACTCTTAGCCAGATGCCTGTGGACAGGACAGAGAGGAACAACTATGTTAGTGAATAAATGGACCATAGGCATCATTTATTCTCTAAAAGAGAAGGTAGTAGGAAATCTTCAAAACCTCCTGTCCGAATTTCCCCAGCAAGAACACCATCACCAGTGAGTAGGGGGCCAAGGAGAAGAGACAGTGATACTCTTGTCCTGTTAAATCCCTGTCTACAGTATAATTTTAACTTTCTTTGGGAATTCTGATGCGGGGAGTTGGGCCAGCTGGCCTTTCTTGGGCCTCTTGCAATTGTTTTTCATGAAAAAGTCAAATTGATATCGGTAAAAGCCTTTTGTCAATTCCTTCTCTTGCAAACACCTTTAGAGACAATTCTGATCAGCTCAGTTTACTGTTAAGTCATTAGTTTCATAGCACCTACACATTAAGTCATGCTCACTAGATTGAATCTGACACTTACATATTTTTCACAATTCTAATTTTTACCTTAATACATTAAATATTTTCATCTGAACATACAAGTAATATATGTTCACTGTAGAGAAGTTAGAAAATACAGAAATGCACCAAGAAGAAAGTTAAAATTATCTATAATCTGGTCATTTGGCAAACCACCATTCACATTTTGGGATGTTGGTCTATTAAAAGTAAGATTGCATTTAATAGGCTAGTTCTGATGCTATGGGTAGGGTTCCACCCTTTAGAAGGCAAATATCACTCTTCATCTGTGGGTCATATAAAACAAAACTGATAGTGCTCAATTCTCCTAAGTATTGGCATGCTATGTTCAGACTATAAGCCTTAAGTTAGGTGTTGAATAGGAGATAGTCTTCCTGTAAGGAGTTTAGATCTGGCATTAGGGCTGTCTCTGGAGCCATTCAATTTCTTTGAAGAAGATTCTGTATCCTTTGTAAGGGTAGATGCCTGGCTGTCAGAGCTCTTAAGTGCACAGTGGTAGAGGGAGAGACTGGGGATGCGGTGGCCTCATATGCAGACTTCTAATGAATTCCCATCTTCAGGCTTGCTACTGGAACTGGGCAGTGGTGGCAGCAGGGAAGCCTGCCACGTGCCAGCCAAGAGAAGCCAGCCCATAGTTGGCACACACAACTGCCCACCAGCATAGGTTCGAGGCAGCCTGCAGGTTGCCTGTGGGCTGCTCACATATAACATAGGCTCAGACCAGTGCTATGTTCTCCGACTTAGGCGGTGATCTCCCAGAAAGCATACCAAAAAGTCAAAGGCAGCAAAAATATGAGGGAAAAAATACAGAAAGCTGTCAGGAAGATTCATAAATATTTGGAAATTAAACAACCAGTGGGCTAAAAAAAAAAATCAGAAAATATTTCAAAATGAATAAAACACAATATGTCAATATTTGTGAAAAGCAGCTAAAGCATTACTTTGAGGGAAATTTATGTTTTAAATAAATGCTCATATTAGAAAAGAAGAAATGTGTCAAATCAGTGATCTAAGCTTCTATCCGAAAAAATTGAAAAAAGAAAAGCAAGTAAGATCCCAGGTAAGCAGAAGGAAGAAAATAATTAAGAAATAAGGATCACTGGACAGAAAATGAAGAATAAAGAAAACCAATAAAATCAAAAGTTGATTCTTTGAAAAGAGAATAAAATAGGTAAGTTTCTAGTGAGGCTAATCAAGAATAAGAAGTTACCAGAATCAGGAATGAGAGAGGAAACATCATTATAGATCCTGCAAGCATTAAGAGGATAAGAGAATTATGAATGGCTTTAAGCCAATACATTCAACAACTTGCATGGAATGGATAAATTCCTTGAAAGACACAAACTGCCTAAGATTATTCAAACCGAAACCAATATCTGAATAGTCCTATATCTATTTTAAAAACTGAATTCATAGTTTAAAACCTTCCTACAAAGAAAACTCCACGCCCAGATAGCTTCACTGGCAAATGCCGCCATGTACAGCATTAAGAAAGAATTAATACCAATTCCATACAAACTATTTCAGAATACAGACAAGGGTGGAACACTTTCCAACTGGTTTAATGAAGCCAGCATTACCTTGAAACCAAAATCAGACAAAGGATTCATGAGGTCAATATCCCTCGTGAACACAGACTGAAAATTCTTATGAAATGTTAGCAGACAGAAATAGCAATACAGTTGACCCTTGAACAATGAGGTTGAACTGTGTGGGTCTACTTACCAGAGATTTTTTTCAGTGGGTAAATACAGTATTGTAAATGTATTTTCCCTTCCTTATGATTTTCTTAACATTTTCTTTTCTCTAGCTTACTTTGTTGTAGGACTAGAGTATAAAATACACATAACATACAAAATATGTGTTAATTGGCCGTTTATGTTATCGGTAAGGCTTCCACTCAATAGTAGACTATTAGTAGTCAAATTTGGAAAAAGTCAAAAGTTATATACAGATTTTCAACTGTGTGAGAGTTCAGTGCCACTATCCCTGCATTGTTCAAGGGTTAACTGTATATAAAAAGGATAATACATCATGACCAAGTAAAGGTTTAAATATGTATGTATTTTTAATATTTATTTATTTTGAAAGAGAGAGAACACACAAGCAGGGCAGGGGCAGAGAGAGAGAGAGAGAGAGAGAGAGAGAGAGAGAGAGAATCCCAAGCAGGCTCTACATTATCAGTGCACAGTCCAATGTAGGGCTCAAACTCACGAACTGTGAGATCATGACCTGAGCTGACATTGAGAGTTCGATGCTTAACCAACTGAGCCACCCAGGCACCCTGATGACCAAGTGAAGATTTAAAGATTTGTCCAACATTCAAAAATCAATATAATTTACCATATTAGCAAAAAATGAGAAAAATATACAATCATTTTGATAGATGCAGAAAAAGCATTGGACAAAATTCAACATACATTCATGATCAAAACTCTGAATAAATGAGTAATGAACAGGAAATCCTCAACTTGATTAATGGCCCCTATGAAAACTCTAGAGCTAATAGCAAAACTTAATGGTGACATACTAAATGCTTTCCTCTGGGCCAGGAAGACAACAAGGATGTTAACTCTCACCAATATTATTAAACATGGTATTGGAGGTCCCACTGAGTGCCATAATGCAAGAAAAGGAAAGAAAAAGCATACAAATCAGAAAAGAAGGCTTCTACATGACATGTAAATGGGCCAAAGAACTACAGTTTCCATTAAAGAAATGACTAGTCTGCTACATAATGCCAGGCCTTTATAGAAGACCCCTCTCATTCTATGAAAACCAGAGGCCAGCACGCTGTGTATGATTTAGACTCTGCCATAACTCATGACTTTGAATGTGGAGAGAATGACACAAAAACCAAGAGATGCTTAAGATTCATTCGTGGCAGCTGGATGGTTTCCAGTGATAGCAGTGGTAGTAGCAGTGTCCAGTGGCAATGTTGTTCTGAGAAAGCACTGGTAGGAACCATTGGCATTGTGGCCAAACTAATCCTGATAAAAGATGATGATTGGACTTCTTGTCCTTGGCTCTCCAGATGTGCCTTTGTTCTCACCTACAATTTTCTTAAATATTCAAGATTCTTACTAATTTCTGTGGGTGGCGCCTGGGTGGCTCAATCGGTGAAGCGTCCTACTCTTGATCTCAGCTCACGTCTTGAGCTCAGGGTCATAAGTGTAAGCCCCACAGTGGGCACGAAGCCTATTTAAAGAAAAAAAAAAAAAGGAGGGGGGGGTACCTGGGTGGCTCAATCAGTTAAATGTCCAACTTCAGCCTGGGTCATGATCTCACGGTTCATGAGTTCGAGCCTGCATCAGGCTCTGTACTGACAGCTCAGAGCCTGGACCTGCTTCAGATTCTTTGTCTCCCTCTCTCTCTCTGTCCATCCCCTGCTCACACTCTGTCTCTGTCTCAAAAATAAACATTAAAAAAAAAAAAAAAAAAGAATCTAGACATGGGGCTCTTGGCTGGCTCAGTCAATTGAGGATGGAACATTTGATTTTAGGGTTGTCAGTTTAAGCCTCACATTGGGTGTAGAGCTTACTTAAAAATAAACAAAAGGTTCTATACAGTTAAAGACTCAAGTCTCATTAATTTTCAAAATGACTACATTATTACCTGTGTTCACTAGAATGAAATTCCTACTGAGGATTTAAGGAATCTGTTGTCACTGCCTTTGAAGTTTGAAGGACATTTTGGAAATTAATGGGACCTGAGTTACTTCCAACCCATCTATTATTCTCATAGGTTCCTGAGGTTCTGTTTTCTACATTCATCTCCTAAAACTAATGCCTTTATCTGTCTGGGTTCTTGGTTGCAAGCACAAGAAACTAACTGAATGGAAAAGGAACTTATTGAAAAGAAATCAAGGAGCTCACAGAAAGTGAGAGGCTTGAAGAACCTGAAAAAGGGATGTAAGCAAAGAGTTACATGGTCAGCCTCTAAGTCCTTGATTCCAGGCTAAGCTGAAAACTCAGGGACTTCCTATGTATATCAAACAGGTATTTTGTTTTTGTTTTATTTATTTATTATTTATTTATTTATTATTTGAGAAGGAGACAGCATGAGCAGAGGAGGGGCAGAGACAGGAGAGGACAGAGGATCTGAAGTGGGCTCTGCATGGACAGCAGAGAGCCCAATGTGGGGCTCGAACTCATGAACTGCGAGATCATGACCTGAGCTGAAGGCAGACACTTAACCGACTGAGCCACCCAGGTGCCCCTCAAACAAGTATTTTGAATCTCTTGCAGCTGCCAGGATAAGTACGGGGCGGGGGCGGGGGGTTCAAAGGGCAGTAAATTATTACATCATTAAATTCAGGGTCTCACGGAGTCTCTCATGTGAAATGTGGGGGTACTAATCACAAAGAATAAGACTTAGAGAACCAGACACTCTTTTTCTACACACACACACACACACACACACACACACACTATTATATAGGAGGATGCAGAAAGGTCTGAGGACCTTGGATGCCTAGTTCCAACTGACCTTCCATTGTCATGAATCATAAGTGGACTATGATAGGGTTATATCCATTCTAAGGGTTGGTCTCTGAAAAG